TTTTTTTTTCATAATTTTTTTTTTGGTTCATGTGTTACGTTAGCAACTTACATATATTTCGAACCGCAAACAAACTTTTGTTCTTATAGAGCAATAGATGGACAACGGAATTGGACCAATAACCGATGAACATGTACAAATAAGCATATATACCAACCAACTTATTATAATTATTATTATTGAGTTAAAATAACTTGCAATAAGATTTACACAAGTAGAAAGTAATAGAGAAAGCAAAAAAACAGAAGGTATACTAGAAAAGGTGACCAGTTACAAAAAAAAATAAAAATTGAGAAAATGTGATAGTTTCAAAATGGCGTATGAGTTTTGATTACTTTGAAAAGTTAGTGGGCAATGAATTACATTCGGATAAATAGAGTATTCCCTATGTTCTAAAATAAAATTTTAATATACAGTATTAAATTCGTTCAAAAAATAATATAAATATCAAAACTCAATGTGAATTAAATTTTTAAGACATGTGTAGTAATGAAATAATACTTTATCTGTCAAACCAAAATAAAAAATAAAAATCACATTGTAATTTATAAATTGTACAGTTCTTGGTATATTTCATAAATTACAATTGGAATATTTTAATGGGACGGAAAGAATATAACAACAAGACTATTATTTTCGACGACGGGAGTAGTTACAATGAAAAGTGAATATATCTTTCATTCGTATTAATACAAATTAAATGGATAAATCGCTGGAATGTTTTTAAATATATGAATAGTAGAACGAGGCATTTTGCAATTTACTCAATAAGAAATGGAAAGTTTAACACTTTTTGCAGGTGGAAAAAACTCAAACCGGGCGAGAAGTAAGAAAATGACCATACACTCAAAAAAACATAACAAAACAAAACAAGGGAGGCATAAAACGACAATATATAATGTGCTCATTCTGCTGTGAAAAAATGAAAAAAAAAATAAAAATCTATCCTCTAAATTTTTATTATTATAAGATCATAAAATATAGTATACCGCAATGTGTTGTATTCTTTTTTGTTGAAAAGAAAAAAGAAAATACGATCAATAAAGTTGTTTGTAAATGATTAAATTAATTATGTCAGTTTAGAGATTTACTTGTCTACAGTTTTTAGTCTATACTACTACATGATGATGCAGGAAGTATCGCTCTTCATACGTGGAGCTCTTATTCCACGAACTCAACTTTTTATCTTTAATACCAAAAAGGAAAAAGAGAAAAAAAAATCACATATGACAGAAAAATGGGAATGTAACTGACAATGACTCTAATCTCTTTAACTTTTGTAGAATACACGGCCTTTTTTTTTTATTTTATTTTCTGTGTGTTTGTGATACACAACTAACACAAGCAATACACTTGTGGTGGATACATTTATTCGAAGAAAGTAAAATATATTGTACGTAGGTAGTGATTAAATTGCAGTATTATCTCGGTCCTAAAATTACAACATTCTCTTCATTCTAAAATTAAAAATTTAAATTGGATAATAATTTTGGGATGGAGAGAATACAAAATTAAACTGATCATGGTAACAAAGAAATTCACCCACGATGTAGATGGTTTTCACAGCAAACAAAACCATAGAAATTCATAAATGAAAGATACAAAAGGGGCATTTATTTGACTTGACGCGAGAATATGAATTGGAGTGATGGTGGAGACATAATTTTTATCAATTGAATGCTTGAAAGTGAAACTAATGTAAAAAAATTTGGGAACTCCATAGGTCGTTTTTGTACGTAGATAATATTATTTCTGTCTTAAAATTATTATTATATTTATAAAATTTTAGATATTGTGTAGTTAAATAATTTATAACTAAAGTATTTTTGTAGGCGAGTACAAGTTTTGGGACAATTAAATCACGACCTAGTTTGAATACGTACACATACATACATCAGTAATCAAAATATTTTTTTAAAAAAATTGTGTGTGTGTGTGTTTTTTTAACCGATTTGAATCCAAATTAATAAGGTGGTGTTTGGACAACATTTTGTTTTAGTTTTTTATTTGAATTTGGGAGGAGATTTAAAATGTAGTTTAGTTTTTTATTTGAAAAATATTATAATATAGTAACCATTTATGAAATTAAAATAGTTCAGTGACCAAAATGAAGACTTTATAATAGTGCAATGACCAAACGCAACACTTGAAAGGGTAAATTAAAATGTTATTTGGATAGTGCATTAGGTTTTGTATTTAAAAAATAAAATGAGACAAAAAGTAAAACAAGAGATTAAACAAACTCTAAGAATTTCATGAAGAAAATCCAATTCAAACACATGGTACATGTAATATACTTTTCCCAATCTTAAATTAATATTTTCACCGTCCCAGAAAAATATTTCACGTTGATTTATGAGATTTGTGTTAATATCTAATATAAATATAATAACTCAACATGAACTATTTGTTTTGCACATAACTAATACTCCCTCCGTCCCATAATTATTGTCCACTTTGTCCAAAAAATTTTGTCCCAAAATTATTGTCCAATTTGACTTTTTATAGATCAAGTTACACATTTGTCCTTAGTAAAAAACATTATCCATAAAATCTTAGTGGTTAAACAATTACTTATGTAGGGGTATATCCGGTTGTTTATGGTAAAATATAGTTAAGTTTGACCAAAAATAAAATCTTTCATTTTAGTAAAACTGGACAATAATTATGGGACGGAGGGAGTACTAAAATTTTAGTTTAAATTTGAACTTTATAATTACGACCGAAGAGAGTACGAGAACGGAGGTGTTTTTTTTTTGGTTGAGGTGAAGACCCAAGACGGGAGCGAATGAATGATTTGTATCCAAGTGTCGAATAACGAAGCTAATAATGGGTGGGGGGAACGAAAAAGGGGTGTTAAAAAAAAAAAAAAAAACTCGGGAACAAATGGGGCAGGCCGACTACGGCTAAATGACCTGGCAAAGTGAGTGATGCCAGGCTAGCATTTGCCCAATTTCCATTTACATCATTTTTCTCTGGGGGGTTTTCTGTGGGACCTTTCACCCTCCTTCCCCCACATGCCCTCCTTCCCTCACACACACACACACACACTCATCTTCTTCATTCTTCTCCCACCCAATTCTTACTCTCACTATCCATCCATTCTTCATGCATTATTATTCACTCCAAAAAATATAATAACTAAAAAATAATAAAATCAAATAGAATCAAAGTATAACAGTCATACAATATATATACATTATTATCATTAAAAAAAAATCGATTTTTAAGTCTTGAAATATAAAAAACCAACTGTATTAAATTTTTTATGCATGTGTAACCGTTTCTGGTCAAATATTTTTTCACAGTTGTCATTATCGTTACGTGGTTAAAGTTAGTCATCAACAATTCTTCTCATAAATATTAATACATGGGTTATGAAAAGAGCTTATTAATTCGACATGGAAAAACGATATACTTTATTTGATCTCTTTTTTCACAATGTGTGAATTGAAAATTGTTAACTTAAAATTTTTCACTTATATTATTGTGTCTTTGAAAATTATATCCCAATCGCAAATGTATCAATAATTTAAACAAAGAAAACTATATATATATATATATATATTCGAGCTATGGAGTGCTACTAAACAAAATATACAGAGATTATTGCATTGTTTAAGTTGAATTTTCTCTCCTTGAATTGCAATTAACTGACTTTTACATTGGGAAAAAGGGTTAATTGTTTGATAACATTTTTTTTAACTTGCATTTTTGCCCTTTTACCACCCATCTTAACCAATTCCTTTCCCAATGAACCCCCCAAAAAAAAAAAAAAACAAAAAACTCCAAATCATGGGTTTATGTGCATCTAATAATAATAATAATATTATTGTTACGGAAGATTCTAATTACCCAATCCCACCACACTTCTTCATCCTCATTTGACTCCACTATTTTATTTTTACATATTTAAGAAAATGACACAATCCTTATCACTCTTATATTATTGATTTCAGTACAATTCAGCACCTCTTTTCAATTTTTTTTAAAGTTATTTATAAATTTTTTTTTGTGTTTTGTTTTGTGCTTAATTAAAAAGCCAACTCAGTCTATGGCTTCCTTCGCTGCGCTAATTTCGTGTCGGCAATCAGAGGGAAAAAACAGGGCAAAAACAAACTCTTTACAAATTTCAATTTCAATTTCAACCACACACACACAAATGATTCATTTTGATTTTTGAAATGTAGTCAGCAATTTTAGGGTACTGATTGCCTCCTAATTTTCCTAACCCTTTCCTAATTTATTCCTTGATAAATTACTTTCCACATAATATTAATTTGTTACATCTATCTGACTTATTTACACATCAAATTGATGTCATACTAGCAGTAGATATCCTCTGGCACCGGATTTGTTCAAAATGTAAGAGTTAGATTTTCATTACAAGATTACTTCTAACTTCCTCCTTTTAGCACAAAAAAACTTGATTATAGTATTTTTTTTTTTGGTATATTACGTATTCGGTGTCCGAAGTCATTATTTCTTTTCGTTCAAAACTTGATTATAGTATAGCATATTTTGAATCAACAAATATATTTCTACACTTTTATATTACTCTCGTTATGATGAAAAAAGAGTGATTTTTGTATTTTTACAATAGAATATCAATAATTCGAGCTTGAGAAGTTTAAATATATGTATTTATGATTATGACGAGTAACGCTGTAAATAGCAGAAAATACAAATGATCATCCAAACGGAACCGTAATTATAAAAAACAAGCGGTAAAAGTCTCTGTATTTTAAAATAAGAGAGTCCTGATTATTGTACGGTTTTAGTTCAACCAAACAAATAAGACGGGTATTATGAGTAGACTAATAATATACAACTACTAATAATACCATGAAGCAACAACAACAGTAATACGAAATGAAAGACGAAGAAGATCTGTCATTTTCTTAATCTGTGCTGTCGTTTTCTCTTACCATACATACGTTTTTTCATATGCATTAGCATCATCTTAATTATTGTTTATTATTCTCTTTTAGCTTCTTAATTGCCACTCCTAAATTTATTCCCCCCTATTCTTAACCAATACACACCATCATAATAATACACTACAAAGGCAATAAACAACATCCCCTTCTCTCCCCTTCCTCTTCCTCTCTTTGTACAGAGTCAAAAGCAAAAATAGAGGGGTTGTTCAAGAATGAGAGAGAAGAAGAGGCTCTTGATGAAGAGGCTAGTAAGTACGTTGTTTTTTTTTTTTTAATTTAATCTTTCATTTTCCTTTTCAGTTCATCTGTTGTTTCTTGGAGTGGTTTTGTTGCTATCTGATTAAGCTACAAACTGGGTTCTTTTGATTTCAGTTTATGCTATTCTGGGTTGATTTGAGTTTGTAGGAAATGGGTTGGTTTTGTTCTGATTTAATTCGTTTCTCTTTTTTTTCACTTGCTCTTTTTGTTTCAGTTATGTGCATATGCTTTTGCTGATTTTCTGCTCTGTTAACTTTTTTTTTTTAGTTCTGCATTGCTGATTGTTTGCCTCATTTGATGTGCTGAATTTCAGTTTAGGCACCTCAAATTCCTTTCTTTTTGGGGTCTTGTACTCAAGATCGACCCGATCCCCTGCTTTGTCTAGTCTACATTGTCATTTCAAGTCAAGAAACTGCTAAACTCTCCTTTGGGTTCTTGTTCTTTTGCAGCAAAGATTCTTCCTTTTTTTTTTCTCTCCCATTTTTAACCATTTGAAGAAAGGGCTGATGTGTTTTAGTCTAGTTTAGTTTGACTGGGACTAGTAAGCTACCACTGTTGCCTGTTGGGATCTATTTTCAACTTCTGGTCTTTCTTAATGTGGTATTCTGTTCATCTGGAGTGACTCTTCCCTAATTAATGTTCACAACTTTTGACTTTCTAATCTTGGGATAATGTAGTTTTTTTCCATCTATTTTCTAATGGTTAAATTCTTGTCTTTTATGATTCAATGGGTTCTTCCAAGTTAACTTACATACTGATGATTCAATGGGCACATGAAGTTTTAACTTCACATTCATTTCCTATTTAGTGTATTGAAGAACATGAGAACATTGGATAGCTTCCTGGAATTTATTTGACTGGTCGAAACCTGTCAAGAACTACTTAGGCTTTTCTGTCTCATGTATGACTGTTTAAGCATAGGAGTGGAGATAATTCTTGTTCATTCTTGTGCAGTTCGCTTTTATTTGTATTAAAATTATCGTATAAAACATGGTATAGTACCTTTTTGATTTACTGAAATCACTGGAATTGAACTTGTACTTCTAGTATTTGAGTTCCCCTTTCAGTTCTTAATTCTAAAATTTTTAATTTTTTTTTTCAGTCGATACTTTTCTTGCTACTGGCTTTGTGCAATGCAATTGAGCAGTCCTCAACTGATGGAGAGTGCCAGCTATTTAAACCCCTCCAACCACGACCTCACAGTGTGTCCGTTTTGGAATTTGGAGCAGTTGGGGATGGAAAAACATTAAACACGATAGCATTTCAGAATGCAATTTTTTATCTCAGGTCCTTTGCAGACAAGGGAGGTGCCCAACTATACGTCCCTGCTGGTCGATGGCTAACAGGATGTATTAATCTTACAAGTCATCTTACCCTCTTCTTGGAAAGAGATGCCGTCATTCTTGGATCGCAGGTCTCAATTTAGTTTTCTTCTGTTGCAAGTAAAAGAACTATTGCAGTTGGATCAATTACTTAATACTGCTGGTGCTATTATTTAAGAAGCCTTACCTTTGAGGGTCTGGTATAGGATTTGACATTTTAACTAAAATGAGTTTAGGACAGAGTACCTGGTGCTCATTTTGTTAATTAGATCTTCAATACAGCCTACAGGATCCCTGGGGTATATATCAAAGATGTGTTATCTCATATCTGCAAATACTCCTTTTTCGTGTGTAGATTTCTTTTTCCCCTTTTCATAGGCTGAATAACTAGATCATGTAAACGATTTGTTTTAGCGGTGCACTAGTAATTTTGTTTGTGTTAAACTTATTATCGTGGTATTCTGCCATCAAGTAATGAATTTACCCCTGCAAACTTTACTTTTGAGGGGACTTTCTTCTTTGACGTCATTCTTAGTTTTCCTTACCGACTAATTTCTGTAAAGTTGCTTATGTTCTTATATAAATAGAGAAGTAATATCATGCGTTACTAGGTGTTTTTTACTTTAGTTCTGATATGATTGCTTACCTTCTTTTTCAGGACCATACCCACTGGGATTTAGTTGATCCATTACCATCATATGGTCGAAGTATTGAAGTGCCAGGTGGTCGATATCGCAGCTTGATTACTGCAAATAATTTAACTGATGTGGTGATAACAGGCATGTAACTCTCCACTGAGAAGTCATTTGGATGTTATAGTAGTGTTTTCAGCAGCGTTCTTATTCCATTGTTGTGTTTGTGTACTATACAGGCAACAATGGTACAATTGATGGTCAGGGTTCAGTGTGGTGGGAGCAATTCAATGCTCATTTGCTAAATTACAGTAGACCGCATTTGGTTGAATTTCTGGGCTCTACCGATGTTGTAATTTCCAATTTGACCTTTTTAAATGCCCCTTCCTGGAATATTCGCCCCGCATATTGCAGGTGCCTTAAGTTTTTCATTGTATTAACTTTGCAATGAAAATGGTAATTTTGTGTTTAGATTAGTAACTTTATAATGTTAATGTGGTGCAGTAATGTGCTGGTTCAGAACATAACGGTATACGCTCCACCAGAGTCTCCATATACTAGCGGAATAGTCCCAGGTTTGTTAAACCACTCTTGTGAGATTGCTTCTTATTTATGGTGTTAGTTTTACCTGTACCATGGATAAGGGTCAAATTCCTTCACGAGGTATTAAGCACGTTGATTTGGCTTGCAGATTCTTCAGAACACGTATGCATCGAGAGCAGCAACATTAGCATGGGTTTTGATGCGATAGCTCTCAAAAGTGGCTGGGATGAGTATGGTATCTCCTATGGAAAACCAACAAGAAATGTTCATGTACGGCGGCTCAACCTGCAGTCATCTGAAGGCGCAGGATTGGCATTTGGAAGTGAGATGTCTGGTGGAATTTCTGATGTACTCGTGGAGCACCTTTATGTTCACGACTCATTAGCAGGCATTGAGCTTAAGACGGCGAAAGGAAGGGGCGGTTACCTTAAAGACATTCTCATATCAGATGTGGAAATGGACAGCGTTCAGATAGGGATAAATGTGACAGGTCAGTGTGATTCACATCCAGACGACAAATATGATCCTTCAGCTTTGCCTGTCGTAGGTGGAATAGCCTTTAAGGACATAGTTGGCACAAATGTCACCATAGCAGGAAGTTTTACGGGGATACCTGAATCTCCCTTTGCTCCATTCTGCCTTTCAAACATCTCTTTTTCTGTCACGTCCGACCCTTCTACATCATGGATATGTTCAGATATATCAGGTTCCTCTGTTGATGTCTCGCCTGAACCCTGTTCCGACCTCCAAAAATCATCTCCAAGTCCCACGTCCTGTTTCTTCCAGTTAAATAGTGATCTAGTCTCAAGTTCATAATACTAGTGCCAAAAAAAAATCCAAATTATTTTATCACCATTTATATCAAATCCTAAGAGGGTTCCAACATACTCGCCGGTGTATAATCTTCCAATAAAATGCAAAAGCTAGGAGCTTTCAGAGTCTCATCATCCTCATCAACATCATCACTCATCACTATTCGGGTTCAGTGCTTCTGTTCTGGAGAGCAGATGCGCCCCCGAAAGTGGTGCTTTCGCCATGTCAAAATCCCATGTTCTTCCCCCCCCACTGTACAGCATTCAATATCTTCATTCACTTTGTAAGAAAAAGTTTTGGTAGTGCAGTACAATTCGGTCGGATACCCATTGTGTTTCTATTGTATTTCATCTCATTCCATTTTTTCTTTTTGGGGTTATTATATCTTACATTGTAAATTTGGGCACTGGAAGTGGGAAGTCAATCACTTCCAGATTTGTTTGTTCAGATGATTAAGAAAAGTTTTCTATAGTGGAGTGATTTTTTCTTTCCCTATGTTTTCATTTCATAAAATTTCCCAATTTTCCACTGGAACTCTGTTCATTAAAATCCTTCCTAATACTGCTTATTGTTTCCCTGATTGACCTAAAAGATGTATAAATGTCCAGAATTTGAGAAAATGATGCTACTACAGTTTTTAGTCGATCGATCATCGGATTAGATAGATGCACTGGTTAATACATCAGCTTCAGGGAAAAGATAAAACTTCAATCCTATGATCCTATCTATATATACAATCATTAATCAACATTTCAATCCCTCTCATAGATGAGATAAAACCATTGTTTTACAACCTTATAGTTGGGGCTACCATCACCATCGCCAGATCATATCACCAATCAATCAAGTTCTGGGAAAAGTTTTCTTCTGACTTGACTAATCTCAAAATGTGTTCCCAAAGTCTTGCATCCAGTGTATGTGGAGATCTAGTGTAACAGTGGCCTATATAATGGAGTTCATCCGCCGCCTAAATTATGTAGCTTGACCCAAGTTTTTGACCAATACATTGAAGGAATGGGACAGTATAGATCACATGAAATGAAGGAAAAAACATTTTGGTGGCTTTCATCAAAAGAAAAAAAATTGGTGGCTCATACTTTTTTCACAATTTCTAGATTGTAAGGGCATGGAAATCCATATTGCAAATGAGAAGTTTAGATTAAAAATGCCGTATGGAAAATCTCTTTTAGTTTCTTTTAATATGCAAACAATATCAATTGCAATCTTGAGGCATACTTTTTGTAAAATCAACTTGAGGTAATACTAATTCCTGTTGATGATACCTACTAAGAAAAACACTAATTTTTTCTAATATTATTAAACTGTAACTACAACTGAAACCAAAACAAATGGCACTAAAAAAGCATTTAGAGGAGTGTCTTATAAATCCCTCTTATATTTTGCCAGCGTTCAGAAGTCAACATTCTAGTGTTCGTATGTCAAAAACCTTTGGAACCTGAAGCAACTGTGACAACGACTATGTATATCTCAATATACATTAACAATGAGTACAAAACCAATGATGCACAATTGTCATCATCACTCGAGATTAACAATTGTTGAAGGAATCCACAGAAGTCAATAACAAGAAATCACATGATTCCAGGGCTGGCAATCTCATCGCTTAACTCAGGAGAAAGAAGAAAAGGACTAGGTGTTGGTGGACATGAAATGGTGGCCAAACCTCTTTCCATATTTCATCGTACCGTTGTTGATTGAGATGCAAGTTGGACCCATGCAAACTCTTCTTTGTACACTGTGCTTTCATCACATGAAGCTTCGCACGTGTAGACAGCAATGGTTGCCCAGTCGAGTGAATCTGGGTTATTCTCCACTCCGAAGTAGAAAAGCAACTGTGGCAATATCTGTAAGGGGAAACCAAGTCACAAATTCACACCACAGCAGTTTGGCAGTTATTGACAGGTAAAACACAGAAGGGCACACAAGGGAATTAGTGAAGACTTTCATACAGACACCATGAAATTAGGACTTCATATGCACCTGAAATTCGCAAGCTCGTGTCCCATTGCAGTAGTTGCACCTAGGAATATCCATTCTTGATGGTTGGCCACTCGACAAAGGCCATAGTGGTTTGGATCTCACAGACCGATAGTACCTGTTTACATATAAAGTTTCAAATTTTCAGAGACAAAAATTAGTGGTTTTCTTGGTCTGTTTTCCTTAAGCATATGTATAAACTAAATGAGACATACTCCACTGGAACACATTCAACTGACCTCAAGACTTGCTCAGGATCCCGTGATATTCGCTCTTGAAAAGTTGCCCAAGATTTTTTGTCGCCACCAACCTAGTGAGCAGAAATTGGAAGGATGCTATTATTATTATTATTTTTCTTTTGGGGAAAGAGTGAAGGATGTCAAATAAGATTGTTCATTTATTGTATACATAGCACCAACGAGATAAGATACCAACCTCAAATGTCTCCAGCAATGACTTTACAGATTCATCCACTCTGCTGGGGGAAACTAAAGACTTGTTAAATCCTTCATGCTCAGAGTTCTCAGCTTCACTTTCATCCTCATGTACAATCTCAAACTGGGGCCAGATATTTTTGCTAGCCACTGTTTGCACAGGGAAATTTAAGAAGAGGCAATCAGTCAACCATTTTTCATGTGGTACTTAATTAGCTCTCACTAGGAAGTGTTACTCTACAAAAGTTAGTGCTGAGAGTATTGTCAGCCAACATAAAAATTCTTTCAGAAGCTTCATTAACTTGATGTTAACCTTCCGAAAAATGAACACCTTGCCCACGTATAACAAATCATGAGTGCAGTTCTCACGGCTCGGGACCATTAATTGCATGAATTCTAGACCCCAGCAAGAGATTTAGGCCTTTTTACAAAATACTGACCCTTTTGTGTATCTGACGACACAGCATTGGAGGTAGACTCAGGTGTCACAGGTGCAAGGAAGGGCTGTCGACATTCAACTTTATGGCCTGATCGCCAGTGAGCAGTCTGAAAAAGCCAGTCCGCAAGAGACCATTGGTTTCAAAAAAAAACAGCAAAGGAAATAAGGATTAACCAAAAAAAAAAAACAATTAGAAAAACAAAAACAAACAAACCTGGTGTTTCTCAGAGCAGTAACGCACTTTCCTGCAATCACCACAAGTTTTATCTCCTCTCCAAGTACCACACCAGCTACAGAGAACAGCTGAAACATACAATAAAATGAAGGTCAGAGACGAGATGACAAACGATGCTAAGGATTATTTTTATGGCTAGTTGCAACATAGCATCTTGTACAAGAAACTCTTGTAACTTAAATACTTCCCATCCAAAGCGTATGTAATTTAACTTCCACTGACATAGGTTAAAGACTAACCTCCAGCTGTAGAAGGTTTATCACTGCCATTGTTTCTCGGGGGCTCACTAGAGTAAAACGAGTTCAAGCGGGGCAATTGGCAACGGAAAACCTTCACACTGAAGAATGCCACAATCCAAAAAAGAAAAACTCAAGAATCTAGAGAAAGTTAGGGGGAAAAAAATTAAGAGCAACATTGGTCATCTAAAGATGTACCTCCGTGATGCCTTTTCGGGCCTTCGCTTCCATTGATCGTGTTGATCTTTAAGAAGACATGACATTGATGTACACATGAAAACAAATAAGGTGCGGTGGAATGTGGATTCCTTCTGAGAAAGGGGTGCATAAACCTGAACCCATGGAAAATTTATTCAGCCACAAAAAGCACAGAAAGTTCCACGTCAACGGCATTATTTAAATCTGAGATAATAGAATTAAAAATAATGGCTTACAGTAGATTTACACAGGCAAGCCAATCAACAACTGAGCATCCATTTTTTTATGGAAGAGGAGACAACAACAAAAACAACAACTAACTCTAAATCTCACTTTTTATGCTCAGCTAAAATAATTAATATCTCGTCATTAAGTTCATTAAAAAAATTGATGCCCTATCAGAATTTGCAGTGTGCTCCAAAGAGGGAGATTCTTAACCTTTACTCCAGCATAATGCTAACAACTTATTCTGATTTTGGAACCAGTTTCTAACTTAAAGATCATTTCTTATGTGATCTATAGGGACCAATACAAGGTAAACTTCCTACTCAAGTTGAGTCTACTGTTTAGAACCGAGAACTCCAGCCTTAAGAAAGCAAAAAAAACTAAGCCTTTACATCATTTCTTGTAGAACCAGGTTGTCACCGAGCCTAAAAAATTCTTAAAACTTGAAATAAGGGCATGTGCTGGCATAAGGGGAACTACGACCTTAACCCTTAAAAAACATCATTTGTTAAGGTAAGCTTCCATTATTCTGGTTTTAAACTCCGGCTTTATAATCAGTGCCTCATGGGCGGGCAGAGTTATTTCAACAAAGTAAAAAGCGAAAAGGAAAACACCCACTCCCACAAAAAAGGAGTTTGGCACACACTTGAAATCACCGCACATGGAAAACTGGAAACAAAAATTTCTGTTTTACATCACCTGAAGCAAAAACTGCAGAGGTTGGCCGCAAAAATCACAAAGGCAAGACGTCCCACTGGGAAAGTTAACTGGATCAAGCCATGCCTAAATATTGTTTTTGAAAAAACAAAATTCACAATCAGAATCTAATAATCGAGCACAATAATTTTCCATCAAAGGGTAAAACAGTTTCATGTTTAGTTCGAGCAGTGCACGTTCTTCCCAGAACCAAAAGGAAAGATTAATTTCAGCTCAAATTTTTTGGATTGTGATGAATACTTACTGGGGTCCCTCCAGCTATGCTAGGAAACAACTCTCTCCTTACAGACCAAGAATTTTTAGGTTTCTCCAGAAATCCCAGTGACACGGGTTCTTGGTCCTCATAATCGTCGTCTTCATCATCGTCGTCATCCTCCAGAATATCAACGGGAGCTTGAGGAACAACGTCTCCATCTTCATCATCATCATCATCAAGATCAGTAATTCTCAGGGAGTTTAACTTCTGCGTAGGCATTTCGCTTGAATCACCGTACATTTCCCCGTCGTCCGACATTATTTTTGGGAATAAGTAAGGATGAGAGGTACCGGAGGCAGGTTGAAAGATGTTGTTTTTTGGCGGCAGCTTCCAGTAGCACCGCCGCAGGGGGTTTTGGGGAGTTTTGAGGGTTTTAGGACTACTAATCCCTAGAGCAACGAGATGAAACGACGACGTAAGCTCCGGTTTCAAATAGCCCCTAACTTGTATTATACTTCAATGTTATATTTTCTTTTCTTTCTTTTTTTTTTATGGTTTTGTTTTAGATTTTGTTGTTAGTGGGGGTAGGATTGAAGATTAATAGAATTGTAGAACTTTGCAGCCTCATTTTTTAGTAAATTAGATGTTAATCAGTAATCAACTCAAGAATATTTATAGGAGTTAAGTCGCTTACATAACCACTTAGTTTTATATTTTCTCGGTCCTTAAAAAAAAGCTCACATAAAAAGCTCACATAAAATTTAATGCGAGACAAACTTAAAAAAGCAATGTGAGTTATTGGGGAAATATACACCTTCATCGCAGTGAAGGTAACAGAACCTTAAAAAATTTGTGTAAAATTATTGGAAATATAAACCGCCAAAAAGAATGAAATGGTGTTAGCCTTGTACAATATTTATATATACAGTGTTTATATTACAAGCAACTGGAATTATTGCTGCATTGATTATACTATAGGGCCTCAAAAAAGAGGATCACAAGGGGAGGTGAGGGGGGGAAAAAAAACCAAAAACCTCTCTCTCAAACACACCAAAAAATAGGTAAAAAGAATAAAAAAATCAAGAACACATCCATGTTTTGCACTTTACAATAAACCCTGAGAAAAGAATTGTAACACAAAGGCTTGCTATTTTCTTGACGCATTTTTCCTTTTGGCTTCTGAAGGAACAGCTGCATGATTCCTTCCACCGTTTCTTACAGCATTAGGAGGGTGACCAGCTCCTCCATTTCCCATTTTCCGTGATGGCGAAGGGCCTAATTTCGGAACACCACCATTCCTGTCACAAGAAAATTCGAATAAGGATTCTACAATTACGACACATGATTCATATATCTGATCCAGCATAGTGGAATAAGGCTAAGTTTTTAGTGGGGTGTTGGAGAGAAAAATGGTGTGTTATGTTGCAATCAAATGGCATTGTTCCACTAAAGTAGTAAGTACAAAAGTGGCATACAGAGAGTTTCTGTCATAAGCAACAATGGCATTACCTCAATTCTGAATTTTTTGCTTGCTTTGTATTTTGTTTCTGGACTGTCTTCTGTCCAGTTCCACCACCATTGCTGGTGTTGAGTTTGGCACTGTTTAACTGCCAAAGTAAATCCGGCTCAGACGAATCGCTGGTTGTTGCAACATCAAGATCATCAAATTCGTCAGTTGAGCCGAAATCCAAGTGATTGCCTGCTGAAATCAACTTAAATGTTTTGTCTGGATATATACTAGAAGGGTCTGAGATATATTTCTTGTAAAAGGAATCAGTGGCATTTTCATCCCAGCATTCCATCGGGCTACTAGTAAGACCTTTTATAGGATGATCTAGCTTGTTTACCATAACCTTGTCCACCCACTCGCCGGAGCCCATATCTTTATCATCCTCCCCATAATTTCCATTAGAGTCGTTGACTGGAGGCCAAGGAGGAGAGTTTCCGAGCAATTCGTCAAGATCAAAGCTTTGCTTTTTTCGCCTTACTGCTGAATTATTGCGCACCTGCAATGCACCGAAGATCAGAGACATTTGTAGTGTTCTTGATGGCAAAGAACTTCAGAAAACAGATGCATCTGAATAACCCAATGCAGGGTTTGTGCTTAGAGTTTGATCATGCATGAAAAGTAAACTGTACTGACATAACATGTACAGGTCTATTGGGAGGAAAGGTGAATTCAAGAGATTGATCAAAGGACAGTTACCTCAATGTTGTCTACTTCCCCCATAGGTTTCCTCTGGCTGCTAAAATCAGCTAATACCTCTCTTTCTTGTAAACTTGGTTGGAATGGCATGGACCTCACACCATATGGACCACCCGAAGTCTTGTGATGCTTCAACTCATTTTCAGCTTCTTTTTGTGCTAATGTGGCCTTAAGGCTGGCAATCTGACACGGGTCAGGAAAACTGGTCAGTGTAACTGAATCGAAAAAAGTGCTAAGCCCTGTACGGATTCCCATTTGAATCCAGGTTTTCTATTTTTATCTCGCCATTCACATTAAAATTAATACTTTTTCATATTTTCAGCACACGTTTTCACATTCCTAATGCAACTTTTAGTATTTTCAAACAAAAATGAAAAGAAACAGAAACAAAATGGCTTCCATGTATGCTCAAACTTCTAGTTGTCATCAAAGATAGTATATGCAATGTCCTTAGGAAATGGAATTACCTGTTCTTTGAGAACTTTAACGTCTGAAGAATCTTTGTTAACTCGCGCAGCTCCAAGTTCCACGGTAGCTACCCGTTCTGCAAATTTTAGTGTGCTAATAGTTTCTCCTATGGCATCAGGCTCAGGGCTTATATGGACGAACATTAGCGTCTTTGCTTGTCCACCTGATTGGAGAATTTCCCAATGAAAATGTTCAAATCTCGTACACAAGAGATAATATGACTAGAAGCTCTTATAAATCATTTCGGCCTTACCAAGCGAGTCCTGAAGCAGCTGTGTGAGTTTGCTGTTCCGGTATGGTACATGTGCACTTTTTTGGGCTAGGGAGGCTATCACGTCACCCAGAGCAGAAAGGGATTTATTGATATGCTGTGCCTCTTTTAATCTGTCACCAGTTACTTCAGATTTGTCTACCCTCTCGCTTCCAGCTAGATCAACCAAATGCATACAGCCACGCAGAGTAGTTCCAGAAGTCAAGTCTCTTCCTTGGACATGAACAGTCAAGCAACTGAAAAAAATTTTCAGGAAAAGGTCAGCATTGAACAAATATCTTGAAAACGATGGGGGTAAGAAATGCACTTGTACCTGTGAGAGCGACTGCTGCGGTCATTCAGTGCTGTTGCACCCACAGCACGATTCTTGTGTCCGAGGTTCATGAGATCAATAACATCATAAGTGGATGATACACGAACCAGGCTTGCATCAGGAACATTCAGGGTTGACTGAGAATTGTTCCTAATTTCCAATGTATCTAAAAGTTAAGGAGAACATTTGAAAAGGAATTGACAAGCTTCAGATTGAGTCGGGGCAGCTGATTAGCAAAAGAAACGAAATTTAGTAGGGCAACAAGAAAAGGGAACTACAGATCTCAATTTATATAATGCACATAATGCTTTAATTCTCAAGTAAGATAAACAGCTAGTAGCGGAAACTGTAGTTACTAAAAAACTGAATATAGCATGGAAGGATATCTTTTGTTCAGTCCATCAGTAGCCAGGAGATCCCTGACTTGCTCATTGTATATCTCAATCATCTGAACAGATACGTCATAACAGAAAGTATCCCTTCTTTGTTCTGCAAGAAGGAATAAATCACTCAACGCTCTGTAGTTTACTCCTTGAGTTTGCTCTGTGAGGTCTTTCGGTCCACTCTAGATGCAGAACAAGAAAATCATCTCTTTAGCCTCTATGAATAATCAACAAACAACAAATCAAGACAAATACAATTTAGTGCAAGTTTTGAATCTTGTTTTCGGTACCATGGTGTAAGTTTTGCCTGATCCTGTTTGGCCATAAGCAAAGATACAAACATTGTATCCATCCAAGACCGATCTAATCAACGGCTGTGTATCTGCAAAGACTTCCTCTGCCATAAACAAGAAGAGAACATAAAAATTTCGTTCATTTATCTGCAGACTCGATAACTATAGAAAAGTTGGAAAATCATGAAAAGTCTGGTCAGCATAAAACCTTGAGTAGCTGAGGGTGAAAATACTTTGTTGAAATTAAAGGATTTCCGTCCTTCTTTTCCATTCCTCATTTGAGTACTTATCGTTATAGTTCCTTCCTCTATATGATCCACAGTGCTAACATAGTTTGTTTGTCGTGGTAAGAAGGGTCTCACTCGACAGTATACCCTGATGCTTCCTGGTTGAGCCCAAAGTAAACAGATTATAAACATGTCTCCATGTGTTTGCACAATGCCACAAAATTTTTGTATTATAGTTAGATCTCACCTTTTAGGTCTTGAACTTGATTGTAAAGTCTGCGGTTTTCCTCAAGAACTCTATGATAACCAGAAGCAGCATGAGCTAGCCCATGAATATGCATCCCTACAAAACATAAACATAGAGTGAGGTGGAAACAACTTAGGCTTGCAAAGAGGATTTGGCGCCCATTCCATTCAATCTTGTCACAAGTACACGAATGAAATAAAATATCAAGCTGACAGAAACAAGTGAATTGGCCTACCAAGATTGCGCATTTCCTCATTGAACTTTGACTGCATGAACTGCATACTAGATTTTGTTGTGCAAAGAGTTCTCTTCAGCTCCTATAAGAGAATCAAAACATGACAGTCAACTCCAATGCAAAGGGCAATTCTCAGGATATTAGAAGACAGAAGCCAAAGGATATTTTTACCAACAACCTACTGATTACCTTGATATCTGTGTGTTGCTGATCAACAATCATTTGTTGCTTCATTGACACAATTTTCAGTTGCTCTTGTTCCTCTCTGGAGCAACTTTTCTGGAGGCAATTGTCCTTTTTGGTCGAAGCAGCACTTTTAAATTCAACCTTAATTGTTCCAATATAATGTGATTACTTTTGTAAGCTTCTTTTTATACAGAATCATGTTGAAAGCCAATATGTCCAGGATAAAATGCACTCTGTGCAATAACTTACGAATATTACCTTAGCATTTCCAAAAGCCAATTTATTTACATGAGAAATAGGGGAATCTGTCGAATTCCCTTTGTGCTGTTTGTACATGTAAATATTAAAGACCATTAGATAAACATGAGCTGATGTCCTCTCGGATTTCAGAAAGTAATGCCAAATACTATTGGAGGTCCAAAGCCTATTTCATCTGACAGTACCTGCTTAATTTGGTTCGTGATACGCTGTTCAAACTCCTCGACAACTTTGTTTAATACCGACTCCACAAGCTGTAGCCAACAAAAAGCATGAAGGTGTCAAAACCTGTCTTACAGTCTCTCAGTAAGCATTTCTTAGGATGCATCAAACTACATCCACAATCTTGAACTTTCCATTAGTGCAGAAGTAGTCATTTTTACAGAAACATATTTAAAATTCCTGATTCCAGACCAATCAGCCAATATATTCACTTGTGATGTAATTTCAAGAATGGGAGAGAGCAGTCTTACATTTGGGACTTCTTCAGGCTTCTTGTCTGAGAGAACTGCACGAACAAGCATACTCAGGGAAGAGTTTTCCTGCAGAAATTAAAATGAGGGATTACGAGCTTGCAGAGATTAAGGCAACACAGTTATAAAATGAACTTATAAAATGCACTTAGAAGTAAGAACATACCAATTTACTGGAATCCTTTTCACCAAAGATGGAAATGGAGGATTTCTCATTCAGTGATGTAGTCCTTGACAATGAGCTTGTGAAGGGGTCAGAGTTTTTGCGGACGAATTGCTTCGCCATTGTCACTGGCTTCACATTTCCACCAAATTTCCACACCCCATTACATCCTGCTTGCTTCCATTCAGAGAATGATTTAAGTCCCACGACACAATTAACAACCCTGGACGATTTCCCTCCCTGAGAAATCACATCATTTTGCTCAGAAACAATGTCAAATAGCAACAAACTTGCACTTCCAATACGCAAAACTTTGTCACGTAAACAAATAAGTATGGAACACATACTTGTTCAAGATCAGAAGCCTCGAATGTGGGGATTCCCATATCTTGCACGGCAACAAGAAAATTCCTTACATTCTCAAAGTATTGGTATGCCGACAAAGCCGCCCCATCTGGGATCAATGCAGCATCACATGGACTTTCAACAACCTAAATTGGATGATCAATTTGAAATTAGAACAACCAAGTTAGCCTAATCAAACACAGCTGCTACTTCTTATTAGTGTTCCCTTTTTTTTAGGAATTGAAACGAAAACAAGTAACTAAATTCCAAGTTTTTACCTTCGGAACAGCTCCAGGCTGTACTTTATTGAGCACATTGCAAAGAATAATCCCACTCCTGAGACCAAGCCTAAATTCCTCCTCTGAAGGCTCTGCCGGCAAATCTTTTGCCCCTACAACTCCGACCATCTTTCTTAGCCATGCAGCTGCCTCATATCTTCTCATGGCTATAAATTTCCAAACCAAAAAAACAAAAGATCAAAAAGGCATTAGTTTAGTCACAGTAAAAACCTACAACCACAATTTCAATACATTAATCAATTATAACACAATGCTTTCCTCTTCCTACAACTACAGATTGCTTAAAAACTCCATTAGTAAGAGAATTAGAATCCCTCAGAGCAAAATTCAGTCTTGCATTATACTAGTGAGCAGATGACTCTGCCTTTTACAAAATTAGGGACCATATAACATGGAATTGAGTTTCTAAATTTTGGATTTTAGTTGGGTTCTGGGTTCAATTGAAGCAAATTGTGTATACCGGCTTCCTCAGCTCGACGAGCATCCCAGTCAAGATCCCGGGATCGGTTTCCATGCTGCTGGAGAACATCCTCCACCACCGAGGCCACCGAGAATGACAATGCACCACCACCCTCCGCCGCCATTTTTCCTCCCTCCACCCACCAAGAAAAAACACAAAACAACCCACCTAAAATCTTAGTGACAGATTACACAATTCTCTGATTTCACAATGTACTACTAACATGGCCCAGATACAGAATTCGCCTCTACAATCAAAGAAAAGTTCCAGATTATCAAAAGAAAGAAAAAAAAACAAACAAACACCACCCCACCAAGATAGATAGGTGGATGGGGTGAATGATGATCCTAATGGGAAGTTCTTAAAAAGAAAAGATACACATATGATGATACAATACTCTGAAACAAAGAAAAAACTGAGGAAATGAGTTGGAAAGAAAAGGGAAGTTCGGCTTAAAAAAAACAAAAGCAAGAGTCTTTCAAAGGTTGCTTTGTTGATAATGCAAAAACAAAAATAAAAAAACCCTCTTAACCGAAAATTAGATACTGTATAGCTATCAACGGATACAAGTACAGTGAAGTAGACTCCATTTCCAGGTTTGAAAAGCAAACTATAAAAATTTCTGCTTTCAGCTGTAATTAAAGTTTTGAAAATGATTTTGATTAGTACTTACTTTTGATTACTTCTGGGCTCTAATCATATATACTATAAAAGGAAAAGTAGTAGTGGTGTATGGTGTATGGTGTATGGTACCCAGCTCAAAAAAGCAACGTCTCTCTGCTTCTTTTTTTTTTTGTTTTTTTTGAAGTATATATATTAATAGTAGTATTCAGATTGAGAGAAGAAGTTGCAGAGTTTATTAATCTGATGAAAATTTGCCGGAAAAAAGGTTTAAATCAGCCACACGGCCCACGTCACATGTTCATCTTCCAGTTCCGGGCCTGCCTTTTTTCCGAATCTCTTGGTTCGGAAGTTTCGGATACCCGGACTGTGTCAGCGCGTGATTCTCACTCTTATTCCAAAAGGCTGGCGCCATGGAGGAGAAGAAGAAGAAGAAGAAGTAAAAGTCAACTTACTCTGTTCTGAAAATTACTGTAGTATTTTTCAGTTAAGAATCTGTTATCCTTTTTTTTTTTAATCTATATAAATTTATGGACGAAATTAATTCAGTAAGTGAGCCAACGAGTGTAATTATTCTCATATAATACCAATGTAAATTGAAATATAATAATTTTTAATTTTGTACTCATGAACTATAATTCGTTTAATTAGTACATGAATGAGATTATGGGAAAGTATAATACATTCAGATTAATTAACATGCAATTAGTAAGATCACTTCCGCGGTAATAATTATCACATTTGAGTTCATTTGAATTTTTTTTTTTTTTTTTTTGGTTCACCATAAGAATTCTGTTAATAACTAATGTGGATTTTGAAGGTTGGGGTTTGGTGTGGTAAAGAAAATTGTAGGTAGGTGAGGGCCAATGGATTATTATTTCTTTTTCTCATTCACTAACCTCTTGTGAAACTATTTACTTATTTATCATTGGCTTTGTTTATTGATGATGCTTTATATATCAATTTTTCCATTTAGACAAAGTCAAAGAAATTAGAAGTGAAATTAAATATGAAGAATTTTTAGCCCAAAATAAGTAAATAAATAATGAGAATTTGAGCCATTTGCCCGTTTCAAACTTTCAAAGAACATATATATGTTTACAATCCACAAAATTTGAATAAATTTCACATACAAAATAATCAACTACGCAACCAATCTAATTGGGAAGTTAGCAACTATGGAGGGACCCCTTAACAAATATTCTCAAAAGAACAAAGAAAATTAAAAGCCCAGAAGATAGCTAAATGGAAGTTAAGAGCTGGATTCAAAATTTTGAAATGGAATATTATAGAATAAATTTGGCGAGCTGTCCCACCCATCGAGATACTTATAATTTAATGATGACAGGATTAGTCACTGTTGCCGACAGTGAACACCCTACAAATATGAAAAAGAATAAATTTTCCCTTAAATCCAAAAATAACCGCTTCTAAATTACACATAAAGCAGTTCATGAAAGAGACAGCGTTGTCCTATTGAAAAACTCATTCTCATTGATGTCATTTATCTCACAAAAACAGAAGAACAAAGTTTCCACATTCTTAGCAAAAATTGTCAAAATTAGTTCCGTTAACTCGGTCCGCTAGTTGAATCTCTCGCTCAAAATGTCCACAGAATATGAACACAAAGTCATACGATTAAATATGTTTTTGGTGTAGTCTTTGTATTAGTTTACATTCTTTTACTCGATATTTTTTAAAAGAAACGACTGTGATCTATCACAAATGGTTACGTTACAGATCTAAATTATCGAATCACATCAAATATAACCATCAAATTATTAGTTGAGTTACACTGAAGTTTTCCATATACAGTGAAATCATTAGATCACAAATTTTATCTATCCTAGAGCCACTGCAGTTTGAGATTATTGATCACTGGATCAAATTTTAGTCCTCCGCGAGTTGTTGTGATCATTAGATCAGTGATTAAACCATTTAGTCGATTAGATTACTGTAATTTTGCAATTTTTGGGAAAAGCATTCAGCATGTTCCTCTCTTCCCCCTTTTGTTAGCAAGTCCATTGTAGTATTGTACTAGACATTTGACATTGTTGTTACTTCGTAACGGTATTGTATTTTTAATTTTAATTTGTAAGTTATGGTGGAAGTTATGATGTGTAAGTTGGAACTAAGATAAATTAACCAAAAGTATTTTTTGTATTGGGCCCATGATCACATGCACCCTCAAAAAAATCATTCCTTTTGTTTAATTAATAAGGGCCTAGCTAGAAAGAGCAATTTTACCTACCCAATATCGGAGAAAAGAATAAAGACTAATTTAATTAACAAATAATAATAAGTATTTCCTCCGTCCCAAAATTATTGTCCAGTTTGAGATTTCACTTTTAGTACAATTTAAACTATAAATAAAAATACAAATTAGACAATAATTATGGGACAGAGGGAGTAATATATATGCTATCGATTATGCTTACATTAAATAACTATAATCAGTAGGCAATGGGTCATTTTCCGATGATGAAATGTTTGGTTGAAAATTGGTTACCTTCGTAAATTGACAGTCATGAACCAATCATTAATTAACAAAAGTACATTGTTAGTGTTCTACATACGACAGCTCACCAATGGGCCATGATCTTTTCCCCCCTTTTTTCTTATGAAAACTCTGGATTTGAATATATGATATTAAATTATGTATTTGGCTTTCTTTGAGTCTAAACTAAGAGAAATGCCCTTTCGCATATTGATGACAATTGAAGCAAATTTATTTCAAAAAGAAATAAATAGTAGTATAAGTTAAATGGTTGAGTTTCTTCTTCTTCATAATAGGCTTCCTATGCAATTTATGAGTAACAACAGTTATCATTTTTATTGTACTTGTGTCATATAGTCATAAAAAATATACATGTAAATAAAAAACATAAGTAGATTATATTCCCTTGGTCTCAAAAAGATAGTTCACATTGAGTTTTGAGTTTTGTACCGTTTTTAGTATAAATTCGATACTCAATGTGGATTATTTTTTTGGGACGGAAGTAGTAACACTCACATTTGAATCGCTCATCTCAAAGCAATCCAAAATTTTTGTTGTGGTTCATGGCCGGTTTTCTAAGTGTGTAACGAAAAATCAATAGCAAACTTAGTTAAAGGAGGAGAATAGTGACAAAATGTAGTCGCGCGACATTTTGAGAATTGTGGATGACAAATGAAGAACAGAAATAAGCATCAAAATCGTTGAAATTTGATGAGGGAAGATGATGATGGCCTTCATGAAATCACCAATTCCCATTTTTCAACTGTGGTTCAGTAATTGATTGCTCTCACTTTATGGACCATAGTGGTAATAATTGGAATAGCCACAATAATGTGACTTGATTAAAAAGAATCCAATGCAGGGAGTTGACAAACCACCAGTTAATCACTAAGATTATTATCTTTTAGTTTTACTACTAAATTTTATCCAATGATTATTTCCTTTATCCAATGAAAATGAAATGTTTCTAGCTATTTGTGTAAATTAATAATCATTATTTTTAGTTCATCATCACATTATCATTCACATGTGAAAATGGAACCTTGTGAGTAGAGAAATCGAATGTAATTCTTGTATATGATATTTCTTTTATAAAAAATAATTGTTATATATGTTGTATAAGACTCTCTCTGTCCCAAAATTATTGTCCAGTTTGAATTTTCACTTTTAGTTCAATTAGTATTAAAAATAAAAATCCAAATTAGACAATAATTTCGGGACGGAGGAAGTATTATATATGTTTGATTTAAAAAATTAAATAATTATTTTGGAACGGAATTCTGTGACAATTTGATATGAAATCAAATATATGTTTGATATATGAAATGTTTTTATGTGACGGGAATGTATGCAATCTAATGACTGAATCATTGCAATTTGTCATACACGACTTCTCAATCCACAGAAAAACACACAAGTCACCATTTGTGTGAATATGCGTTGGCAAGGCTAAATTGGTCAAATTGAAGCAATATAAGTATCTCATAACTAAAACTACGAATATCCAAATTGATCTATCAAAGTAAGAAAATACAGAAAGAACCAACGATAAGATAAAGTTCTAACATTCATCGACTCTGAATTAAAACTGAATGCACCGGCAAAACTACCAAATAAACCTATAGAATGCCTTTATTGTTGCTTGAGTTCTATCATGTTGGGTTTGGAGGTAGAGAGGAGGATTGTTGACTGGCTGTAATATCAACATAGGAGATTTGTAATTTTTGTCGAATAATAGTTGCACCTGTTCGAACTAACGTTCCGAAAAATTCAAATGTATGGTTCGGAACCGAACCTAAAAACCATAGTGTTTGTTGACCCTACGGGGAGCGTGGCTGTCGTTACCCCCGGATGGGAGAGTGGAGACAACAGCATATCCGTATGGAGTATTTTCGTTCCTCTTCCCACATTCTGCCACGTACCCATTTCAACCACAAAAAAATTATTAAAATATGCGATTCGGTTCTACTACGTGTCAATTAGCTTTTGTTTTTACAGTTTTTATTAGGTCCGTTACACTATTACTAGTCTACTAGGTGAGTAGTAGTAGTAGTATTAGTCCACCACACAACATTTATTACCTGAAAAGAAAAAGAGAATAATTGCTAGGAGTAATATATAGACATATAGTCACGTTTTAATAAATGGAATTTGATATGTCATGAATTGGCTACTCGATTTATGGCGCTCTCGCCTCTCACGAAAATGGGACCAATTCTTTTTCAAGAAATATGAATGAAAAATGTCTATCAAAAAGATATAAATCGCCTAAATGTCTCATTTTAACTTTTCAAAAAATATAACACTTATATTCCATAAACATAATCCACATTGAGTTTTGAAATTTACACAATAGACTATATACAGATCTCAAAGCTCAATGTGGATTTTTTTTTTGGGACAAATAGAGTAATAAGAATTTTTTGGGACGTGTTCAAGTTACTTCTTCAATCTCAAAATAAAAAATGAAAATCTAATGTAAAACGTGAATTTTTTTACTTTTAATATAATTTGTAATATAAATCAAAATTCAAATTTAACGATCAGTTTAGGATAGAAAGAATACTATAATCATGTATCATGATGTTCACCATGTTCTACCAAATGCAAACACGGCTTAAAAACACGAAATATACCCCATTGAAGTAGGGGTTACAATATTACTACAAAAATCTATAAACGCACCCCTACCAAATGGCAAATACTGCTAGCTTTATCATCTCCATCCTTGCCAGGTATTTTTGGCTTTCGGCATTCAACTGGTGAAACTCAGCGCTCCTCTTCTACCAATGATGCGCAATTATAGATACTTTTACATCATTTTATGAACGAGTGAATGCAATCCCCTTCTTCTTCTTCTTCTTTGTTTGTTGTTGTTTTTTTTTTTCTTTTTTTTTTTTGGGTAATATATATGATGGAAATGTTAAAAGCTACTAAATTAAAACGTTCTGGAGATGGGATACGTATTACATCATTCCGAAGAAGAGAAATGATCTCTTTGTTAAATACTACTAATATATTTTCACGGTCAAACTAATTTTTTATTAAATTGTATTCACATCGACAGGTAAAGCCGTTATAAAATTTAAATTTGTTCTGAGTTGTCGGAATTCGATTACCTAATTTTAGTTTTAAGGTGAATGAATTCTCACACCGTGTCATTTGGTTTACACTCCTTACTTTTTTGCATTTCAAGTCATCCGAAGTTGAGCTTCATCTCTTCTCTAAAGTGGATCACTTCGCCATAATCTGTTTTTAATTTCAGTATAGTTTCTTGTAAAACATTAGCATTTCAATTCCAAAATAAACAAACAAAAAGCAAGGAGGACTTTTGTTTTGGGGGATGACATATCTAAGAAAGAAATAAGCGTAATGGAGAAGGATATAGAAAAGATGAAATTTAGTAATGTGCGAGTGGGCAGAGGCAATGAACCCTAGCCATCATAGTAATCTTTGGTGGAAGGATCGCATCATAGCATATAAGTGATAACAAAAAGAAAACACATTTCGCAGCTTTTACCGACAATCGCACGTTTAATGTAACATCGAGTGATCATTTCATTTGGTAAAATTCATGTAATCTTCTATACAGAGAAATATTGTTATAGTGAGGTTAATTAAGAATATAAGGTTTTGCTCCATCTGAGTGGTCTGTTTCTTTTCTTAAATGCTCACCTATTGAAATATTTGCTCTGTTTCTAAAGATCGAATATAAATCAATACGAGTCTAAAATATGTCTGCTTAAAACTTCTCGTATATGTATAAAATATTTTCTTATTTTTTTTTGTAAAATACCTGCGGTTAGTTTGTTTATTTAGTCCATAAAATGTTAGCCGCACGAGGAATCTTGACACAATAATACTCACAAAAAAAAAGGTGATATTAAATAAAAAAAAAAAGTGATATCACGCCATAAAATTTTAGTACTGAATTCGTTGTTGGTTACTTTCATGATCGTCACCATTATCTCCTCCCCCGACCACATTTCCGGCAGCTTTGCTTTTAGGTTGGCAACAACTTAACAAATTCTAACTCCCAAAGGCAATCTTTCTTCTACTTAATGATTTAATATGCCACCACTGATGATCGGTTGCCAGTGTACATCATTTTAGTACCACGGTTTTTTTTTAATAAATTAATTTAATTTTTCTTTCATGTCTCGTCCTCCCAATATTAATGTAATATTTTTGTTTGTTGTACTAAAAGAGTACACAAAACTGGGCTATGAAACGTTTTTCCCTACTCTGGCTTAAAATATCCCAATCCCACCTCACACTCAAAAGGGGGAAGAAAATTATCAAAAATAAAATAAAAATTCTTATTCTTACAGAGGAAATCTATAAATGCGAAATCGTGAATTTCTTTTTTCATGCAAAGATGTTTTTGGACTAGGGTTTTCCATTCTATCGTAAAAAGTAGGAAATTCCCTGACAAAAGAAAGGATGGAAAATGATAATATGCTGTTTTTTAGTGATGATGGTTAGGGGGTCCATGAGACAACCAGCCAGCCACACCCAAAATGACCCAAAATAAAAATTTATGGAAACACAGCCATTCCTACTTCCTTTTTTGTTTTGCAGGCCTTTTCTTTTCTATACTTACTTTTTGGACCAATGCCGAAATGCTCTCATTTCAACTCGGTATGATGTTGTAGTAAGGAGTTGAGGATATTGGAGCTGGCTGGTGAAGAACTATACATAATTATTTTCTTTTTGGTACAACAACGGGGAATGCATAGGGGTTTGGATAGAATCATAACATTTCTAAGCCTATTACATCATGATTACACCATTAACACATCCAAAGTCCAAACATTAAAATTTTGGATCATTTTTTCAGTACGTATTTTTTAGATTATTTTTGTATTGAGAATATAAAAAGCGTATTGAAAATATAAAAGTATAAGGTGACAGAGGCATTCATTGAAAAAAAAAATGTGGAACCAAACAGAGCCTTATTCCACAACGAGTTCATGTAAACATTCCCCAACTCCACATTCCAATCTGGGCCAAATTTTCGGTTTATCTTTGGGCCAAATGCCGGAGTCAATTCCTTTAATATGTACGTTTGCATCTTGGAAATTCGAAACAATGTTTTGGTGTTTTATATTCCTCCTCCGAGGCACTTCGGAAATCACTTTTGAGGGTGGAAAAGTGGAAACAACACCATATGCCAACGAATCCTTGATGTTTCGAATGCTTTCTGCCTTTGTTTACGTTGAACTGCACAACCCATTCCATTTCCTCCCTCTGAGTATGCTTTGACGTTTTGATGGTTTTCAGTTTACTCAGTGTTTATTGCAACAGTTACTTCCATCTAAATTGATTGTCCAGTTTTATGTACTCCCTCCGTCCCATAATTATTGTCCAGTTTGAGTTTCCAGTTCTAGTTCAAATTGTACTAAAAGTGAAATCTCAAACTCGATAATAATTTTAAGACAGAGGGAGTATTATTTTTAGTACAACAAACAAGGCAATCACAGGACAGGGAGAGTAATGAGTTTCCATTTCTATAGAATGTAGTAAAGATTAGGTGGCTACTTTTCATCATCTAACCAACGAGGAGAGATGTTGGATCGCAAATCCTCGGTTAGAAACTACAGTGATACATTCATGTATAAATTAGGTCTACAGAGTAAAACAGGTTAACAAAACGTCGAACTCAAGAAAGAGAAATCAAATAGATCAATGTGACCCTTCAAATTATGTCCGATATGTTAAGTACAGTTACACTACAATGCTTTATCATCATTATCACTATCAAACTACGCATATGCTTCTCCAATGTGAGAATTATGCAAATTGTTTGATACAGACTCTCCCGAGTGCTTGCAAATGCTGCTTCTGCTCCGCCTACAAATAATGACACCATCCACCCCAAACCAACGACTAATGTATGAACACCATGGTTGGCCACCCCAGTTTATTGACACACAAGATAATGGGTTTTCCCGAGCTTGACCCCGTCGTCACAAATGATGGGGTTGTGGATCAGTTGGGAACAAATTTATGAGGAAGCGATGAATCATCTCAAAACTAGTGAATGTAATTACAGCTGCTGGAGTAGTCCTGAGTAGGTTGGTTGCACATCCGCGATAAAAACCAGCGACACCTTCTTGGTGAAAAACCTTTTGAATGCAGTCAATTACACCAGAATACCGCTTCTCAGAATGATGCCCTTGTTCTTGAAGCCTTGAACGAACAACCTGCAACTCAGATTAAGTAAGCTTTTAGTTTTCGGAAATGGGAAAGTATAATGTTGCCACTTTAATTCTCTCGCGAATAAGGGAGACCTATTTCTTATAGAGAAACAAATCAGATGATTATCTCATTCCTGCTAGAGATAAAGGGAAGAAAATCAGAGTTTTATTAACATTTAAAAACTGCTTCCTTTTCAAATTTATAGGCGAAATCTATCCAAAGGAGTTATTTCCACACATCTGAAAATGAAAATGAATTTCATCAAATGAGACCAGAACCACACATCTTCAGAAGCAGGTTGCATAAATCATACAAATAACTCAGACTCTCAAAGAAACGTGCAGAAGCTCTAAGTATCTGCACACAGAAACACAAGGTTGCCAATAAAATAATCCAGGACACCGATGAAATATAGTAACTTCAGTATAACCTTGGTCAACTTTTAACAGAGTACAAATTATAAGATACTGAGAATTAATAAAAATCAGTAATGGTCTAGTATTGACAAACCTCATGGGGATATGTCAATGTGGATGCGAATATTTTGGAAACGGACGATGCAAGGGCAACATCAGGTGCACCTAGTTTATCCATTGTGGTGTTATCTGCAAGCAAAGTGACATTATTAGCCAATACTGTCTATTTTGATGTGTCCTGCCCCGGCACCAAGTCCATTCTCTTCACCCCAAGTCTATTTCTTTAATTTCATTAGAACAAACTTTATGGCAGGGGATTGTGGAACTTCAATCAAACATATCTGCAAGGCTAAAATAATTCAACATTCACCTCGACTCGCTAAATACATCTTGATTTTCTCGTACGCCGGAAACTGAATTGCAACATGACTGATTCCAGCCAAAGCCGGGACAAGACCACTGAAACGAAGATCAGAAATCATCAATCAGGTGCCCGACTAAGTATGGTCATTGTCTCCCATTAAAGAAAATGGTCAATGTCTCATATTAAAGAAAACTAACCTGTACAAACCACGTATACCCTCTTCATGAGCAATTCTCCTCAATGCAGAAAATGTACCTCTGTATGGAACCACCACATTTCTCATTCCTTGAGTCTGAATTGAGAAGAAGGCAACAATGGGGATTAAGATTAAAGCCAGTCTACTCAGAAACACTTAAAAAGAAAGACCATTAGATTTTATGCTCATAGAAAAGAATATCATTGTAAAACTGTGCTATAAATAATTTAAAAATAAATGCAGTAATGACCAGAAAAATACAATGCCTCCAACAGCCAACCAGATGTGTGAACAGATGCACAGAGTACTCTACTATTCATCACAACAATTAAACGAACGTCACTTTGCTTCTTTCTAGAAGGCAAGCAATCGGATTCAGAAGTAAATATCTTGACAACAAGATTCAAAACGAATTGACTTCAAAAAGAAGTTTCAAACTTACAGCAGAGATCAATCTTCACAACATGATTTACAATGAAAAACAGAGCTCATAGCTATGAACAAAAGCACGCCACGAAAATATCAAAGCTTCATAACTATACAAGTGACAAAAGTTGAAAAAACAAAGTGAAAGATGCTTCATGGAGTTGGGCATGAAAAACTACATTCGAGCATTTATTCTCACTCCTTGGACAGCTTAACTAAAAGTCGTCAAATCATAGAAAACCTTCAACCAATTATAATGCATCTTGGTTACACGCTAAAACTAAGAAACGTTGTCAAAGCCAATGATTACCACCACGTATGGACAAAATCAACCAGATAAGCCAGCTTTTATGTTTAAATTCTCTCAGTACAGTGATAGGTAGAGGTGTACTCCAAATTTCTACTACTTTGTTTTCGTTTGTATAAACAGCACGTTCCCATAGAAGTTCAACCGTTTCCTATGAACTTATGCTGAAGCAGGTCAAGAGTTTAGATGAGGTAGTGATTTCCTTATCCTTTATTGACAAATAAAAGACATTTCTTTATCTCCTTCTAAAAGGAGAAAAGGGGAATCCCCGTCAATCGTCATATCTAATATTCATCACTTCCTAAGAAATATAAAATCCAGTAAAATAATGTTCTTAATGAATCTAATAGACATACTTGAAGTCTTGTTTTGACAACCCAAAGAGGATTTGTGGCAATTGTTGTAGCAGCTCCAGCACCTGATGCAGCTACCATATTGGCACCAACCGAGAGTTGATGAGTAGCATCTATAACAGCAATAAATCAATGACGTATATTAGCATTTCACACCACAAGGAAATGAAGTTAAGCAAGCAACTATAACGGCGAATGAGATCAAGGAAAAACATGCTTGTCTAATTCAAAAACGCCACGTGTCATGATTGGTAGAATTTAATCAGATCCTGTTTCTATCTTTTGTATATTTTGAACATTCTAGTTTTGTCTCTACGCGGCAATTCAAAAATTCATAATTTTGTTGCAAATCATTCCAGGCTGATTATGCAAATACCACCATGTAATTTTTCAGCAAACAGTTTAAACCAACTAACCATCTGAGGATAGCAAACTCTTCAGCTGCTCATAAATCGTAAAGTACACCTGAAGAAGAGCACACCAGATTGCAGGGTCACTAATTTTACGAGTATAAGAAGAAAACCACGGCAACCAGCTCAAAACAACAGAAGAAGCACGATAAGCACGTTAAACTATGCATAGGAAATGTGTAAGATAAGCCATGACTCACAGCCCAATTCGGTAATAATGCCAACACAGTAGGAGAAAGTCCCCGGTACATGCCCCGCAGCCCCTCCTTCTGGAATATCTGTTCTAAAGTCCCAACTATTACACTGCCTGATCAGGGAATTGAAAGCCAAAATTGAAACAAAAAGACACATTAATCAGATGATCCTTCTCATTACAGGCCCCTGAATCCAACAAAAATAAATTAAAATAAAATAATGAAAGATTCCCCCTTTCTGTTTTCTTTTTAGATTATCTGGGAACAAAAAGGGAGCAAAAGCAGTTACCTTTAACATTCGCACCAGCAAGCTTAGGTAGCCCATGAACTTGAAACCTAGTTTTAATAACATCTAAGGGACACACAAACGTGGCTGCAATAACTCCTGCTCCAAAAACCCCCAAAAACAAAAACCATCCTTAATTTGAAAATGATCAAAACTAATCTAAGAAACAGCAAAGCATACCAGCTGCGGCACCAGCGCCGGCGTTGCAAAGTAGGCCCCTGGAGCTAGGGAAATGAGTATCTGCGGTCATTCTGGAAACCGGCGGCAGCTGCTGCGGCGGCGGAGGTCGAGTAATTAACGACGGTAGCAGTAGCAGAAACAACGGCGGCTTGAGCAAAAGAATCCTCCTTGGAGAGGCGAATTGCAGAGAACCAGAATCGTCGCATGGCCAAGTGCGTTGAGCTCGAGGAAAAGGGGGGGAAAAATTTCCAAATCCAGCAGCTTTGGTGTTTCTTCGCCCCCTCCTAGGGTTTCAAATTCATTTCCCCAAATTCGAAACTTCGGGTCAATTGGCTCCGGGTTTGTCTTCTTCGATCAGTTTTGGAAGTAATAGAAGCGAAAAGAAGGAAGCTGAAATGGATGGGAATGAGGAGAAAGAAGGAAGAGGAAAGAGAGCTAAAAAGAACGCCGGGGAAATGGAGATTGGGGTCGTCGATGAGATCGAGAGTCAACAAGATTGGCCATGCGAGGGTGGTGGTGGTGGTGGTCTCATTTGGCTGGAAATGACGCTGCTTCAAATCTTAACCAGAACTTTTCCGTCATTAATGTTTACTTAAAGTCGAACCGAGCCGAGCTGAGCCGAGCCACATTCCGCCTGGCCTCGTCGACCCCTGGTTTAGTTTTATTTCTTATCCGGCTGTGTAGACTAGTATCTATTGTACTTAGGCAGCATACAAGCTGATGATGTGTCAGCACCATAATGAAAATTTTCCCGCTAAAGATTATTTTCAGTACAAAATCATTTTTGATACGTGGCACTCTAAATCTTCAACAAAAATGGGCTTGTTAAAAGTTTTATAATACATAAATAAAATAAATAAATCAATGAAACATTAAACAAAAAGAAAAACGATTCTCCAATTTTAGCTTACTAAACAAAAATCACACAATTAACGTGATAATTTTTGAATTTCAAAATTTAATTGGAAACGCGACAATTTCAAGTTCAAAAATCCCACAATTAACGCTACAAGTTATTATCTTCCCAAAGTTAACTTAAAATCAATAATCATTTCCTAATTTGTTTCTTCACAGCAAGAAGAGTGGCACAATAAACATTGCTTCAATATCGACGCTTACAACGAGTAGGGAAAAAAATTGGGCAAATTGATGCATTAAGAAAAGCAATCAACAATGAAAATCTTGGCACGGGGATTATTCATGGTATGATACTAGGGCTCTTCTTAAATCATTAGTTTCTCTCTTTTCTTTTCCACCTTGTTTTGGGTTTTCTTGATGTGATGGATTGGTTTGATTGAATGAATCGAATAAATGAAATGGAGTATTGGGGGGCAAAATGGAGGTAAAGGGTTCAAAGGTTCAAGGACTCATAGATAGGAGCAGATGATTATAATGATTCAGCACAGGGACAATAAGCTCTAATATAGTTCCGGCTAACGGCATCAACGAATGGATCTGGGAAGAGGAAAATCTGGTGTCGTAAATTCGGGAGAGACAGATCCAATCGACAAAAGTAATCACTATCCTTATCATCGATCGTCTGCTTCACCATGAAGCATATGCGGCAAAGGTAACACGTGTAATTATTTTGGAAATTAAGTTGTGTTCTTAGCATATTCATGCACCATTGCTGCTAATTTTAAAAGATTTAATATTTTTAAAATTTTCTAGTACTTAATTATCATGATTCTGCTTAACAATTTTCAGATGTATATTTCAACAATACAAGCATGAAAAACTCGAATCCGATTGAGGCGAAAATAGCCAATGGATAGGTGATGTAAACAATGAGTTTTCAAGTTCTAAAAAAGGTGAGTATACATTTTTTGTTTGATATTACAGGATATTTGAAATGTGACTAGGCTTACGTTAATGTCTGAATATGACTAGGCTTTATTTGAAAATTGAGATGGGAATTTGCACTCTACACCACAAAGGAAGTCAGCTTAATGAGCTCTCCCTTCAGAGTATGTTAGAATTTTTTTTCCTTACCAACAAATTCATTAGAAGTGGCCGTTTCAATAGGATGACTCAGATGTGATTCAAATACACTACCTTATAGAGTGTACAAAGACTCGATGGTGGTCATTGTTATTTGGTACAATATGAGATCCTATTTGTCAGTGGAAGCATTCAAAAGATTCTATTTTTTATTTGTTTATTGATCTCTTTGTCAATGTTAATTATAATGTGGGTTGTTACATATTCTGCAGGAGAAGTATTAGTAAGAATCAATTATGACGATTCTTTTACTCTCAAATAATATAGTGAAAGAGACGGCTAAAAAGTTTACTTTAATTTCGGCAAACCTACAGGCAGAATAAATAAGGATTGATTGCTACAGGTAATTTGATTAGAGCATGTAAAGCCTCATTATGCTACTTTTTGGTTATTATAGTATAGAGTCTTTGTCTTCCTTTTCCTTTCACACTCTGTAATTTTATGTTTTAAAGATCAAAGGATAATATATGTATATTGCTATTTAATTTGCCCACATCACCGTTAGAGCATTTAGTACTACTCCTATTATCAATGGAACATTCCAAATTTTGCTGTCTAAATTATCGATGTATGGATATATATATAGCTTTTTCCTTAGATTATGATTATTTCTGTCATTTTATGGCTGCCTGCTTATTAAACATCAATCTTGGAGTACTAAAGAACTTCTTATATTCTAATACTAGGAACTCTTTCATCTTGATTTCATCTTTGAAAAATTGGTCAGTATTTGAAGACAACTCTGTTTATGAGCATAAAATTTCAAGATATCCAGGGCCAGATACATCTCAACTATTTATCCTGGGTAAAGATATTATGGTTTTTCCCTAATTCAGTCCATTTTTTAATTAATTTTTTTTAAAAAAATTGGGTTTGACGTTCCGTTAGTTTCAAAATAATGCCTTAAATACATATATGACTTTTGGCAAAATACTCTATAAACTTTAAGTTCTTGAAACTGAAGTATAATATCAGGACCAAACAAAAATGATCATTGGCCAAAAATTTGAGATAGCTTTATCTTTGGACAATATTCCATTATTGAAGATGACCAAACAGGAAAGGAATCTGAATGGCGTGCTATAATATTAGGACATGTTCTTTGTTTATATATAGCGTCATAAATCCAACAGGAAAAGAATCCGAATGGCGTACTATATTTAGGTTGGTGTTGATTTTTTAACAAGTATTTGGTTTTCTGACCAGGATTGTTATAACATTTGTTTTGTATTTTACTTCTATTAGATATCAAGAGAAACCTTATCTATAACTTCATAAATCTTGCAGATCTCAAATTGAAGTATGAAAATATAATGCAAATGCTTACTTCTTTTGAGAGCTCACAACCCGCAGTAGCAGGTCCACCAGCTGCAACACTGTGCAGTATTATAACTTTGATAATTTAATCTTTCAACTTCTATTTCAGTACTAATTAGGTTGAACTCCACGTATGCCATCTTCAGTTTGGGGGATTTCAATAAGTTTATCAATGATGTCTTCCAAGGGTATCATAAGGTCTGGATAAATGGCGAATAGATAGTGTTTTGAGTATCAATATTCTTTGTCTGTGGGTTATTCATTTGTACCTTGTAAGAGTGAAAATCGAGACCAGTTACGTTAATATATTTGCAGGTTTGGAACAACTTTTTCACTTTTGATTTTCAGTACATTATTTTTGAAAAACAAGTGGATGACCACATGATACAATGGTGCACATTTGGTGAGATTATTCTTCTCTTGAATTTTGAGCAAGTAGAATTATGTTCAACCAGTTTTTGTTGCAGATTGTAATCATTCAAGTGGGTAGTGTTTTTGGAATGCATCTACGTAACTTTTACTCTTATGATTGTGCAAAATAGACCTTCAATTGTTTTATTTTTTAATAGATAATATTATATCATTACTTTTTTTTGTGTATGTATGGTGATTTCGAGTTTCTTTCTTTTCTTTTCTTTTTTTTTTTTTTTGCAAAACAAGACTGATGGCTCTGCCATTTGAAGAAGTCAAGTTGCTTCTGACCCATTTACTCAACTTCACTGGATCGAGAAAAACAAGAACTGCTATGAGACAGAATACCATCATGTACCGCAAATAATAATCTCTATAGTTTTAGGACGTGTGTATTGTTATATGTACCTTATATATTATACTAAAAAGTATTATTCTTTTTTCTGATTTTTTGTTTTTGTTAGTTATCAACTTTAAAACACAGACGCCCCGGAATAATAATTATATTAATACATTTTAATACAAATATAAAATCAAAGAGATCGCCCGAGCTAAACATCTAGTTGTTATTTTCGGTCATAAAAATGTAAGCTCAAAACTACTCCTTTTATGTATTTATTATTGTAAAAAAAAAATCTATCTCAAACATTTTACAAAGCGATTGAAAATGTGATCGAATCCAATTCAAACTTAAAAGTACATGATTCAATACTCCAATCCATTTTGAGCATTTTGAGCCAAAACTCCAATCCATTTTGAGCCACTTACTATCACATTTAACTCTTTTTAATTTGAGGGAGCTAAAAATATTTTCATTTTTATATTTTGAATTAGCATTTGTTAAAAAACGTGGAATCAATGGACCAGTTTACAATGGTGTAATATTTGTAATACTTTTGATCGTATGATTTACCCAATAGTTGAATTTACAGTTATTACATTAATAATAAAAATAATAATAGTAAAAAACATGGAATTTGGAAGCAAAATTTATCCTTTGGCACTAGAGAGAATAACTTTTTTTTTTTTATGTGTTAAGGCATTTACAACAATAGTTTAATTTGAGTTTAATGTCAGAATCCAATATGCAAAGGATTGTTTGGAGATGTATAAATTTGTCAGGTGTGCAAGAAAAATTTCAACGGCTCAAACTGACAAAAGGTGGGGGCGCTGACGGGGCCATCCATGGAAAGCGTCCCATTATTTTTTTTTTTAAAAAAATTAATAATGTCATTTTTTCCCAAATTTGTTTGATTTTGCAATTTTTAACCATTAACTTTATTTTTTCAGGATAGATATCAAGTTTTCTAATTTCTTTCTTCGTTCTTAAGTTATTTTCTAAATTAATTATTTTACTTGATAAATATGATGTTTATTCAATGATAATTATTTTTTTATTTTCTTAAATTATTTAATTATGTTTTAATATTTGTCTAAATAATAAAATTCCATATACATGTAATTATTTTTTTAAAAGGTAAAGTATTAATAGAGGAATAGTTATAGAGTAATAATAGTGTAGCAGTTTTGGGTCCAAAATTTTATGAGTAGTAAGTGTTAAATTATTATAAGAAAAAGGTGTATATAGTGAGGGCGTAGTAGAATGCGTGACATTGAGAAATGGTGTTGAATTCTATGAATTATTGTAAAGGCTCTTATATCATTTTTCAACAATAATGACTGATATTGTCTAGAAAGATAATTCTACTTAATTAAAAGACTTTTTGTAAAAGAGATATTATCATGATATATATTGTGACATGTTTAAAGATAATTAAACATTTCTAAGCACAAAAGATACATTTGTAAAATAAAATACTCC